GTCTTGGCCTCCTCTTTTGAGGGGGTTGGGGGTTTCTCCGGGGCCTTCACAGCTGGGGTCTTGGCCTCCTCTTTCAAGGGGGTTGAGGGTTTCTCTGGGGACTTGACAGCTGGGGTCTTGGCCTCCTCTTTCAAAGGGGTTGCAGGTTTCTCTGGGGATTTCACCGCTGGGGTCTTGGCCTCCTCCTTTGAGGGGGTCGGGAGCTTTTCTGGGGATTTGACAGCTGGTGTCTTGGCCTGTCTTGGCCTCTTCCTTTGAGGGGGCTGGTGGCTTTTCTGGGGACTTCACAACTGGGGTCTTGGCCTCTTCCTTTGAGGGGGCTGGTGGCTTTTCTGGGGACTTCACAACTGGGGTCTTGGCCTCTTCCTTTGAGGGGGCTGGTGGCTTTTCTGGGGACTTCACAACTGGGGTCTTGGCCTCTTCCTTTGAGGGGGCTGGTGGCTTTTCTGGGGACTTGACAGTTGGGGTTTTGGCTTCTTCCTTTGAGGGGGTTGGTGGCTTTTCTGGGGACTTGACAGCTGGGGTCTTGGCCTCCTCCTTTGAGGGGGACTTGGGTTTCTCTGGGGACTTGGCTTCCTCTTCTTCACCCTCTTCTTCAGCTTTCTCCTCTTCTTCCTCCTCTTCAGCTTTCTCCTCTTCAGCTTCTTTCTCAGCCTCATCCTCCTCTGTGACCTCCTCAGTCACCTGGATTTCCTCTGTCTGCTCCTCCACAATCACTGTCTCCTTCTCAGATTTTTCCACCACCTTAATCTTCTCCTCACTCTTCACCTTGATGTTGGTGGTGATGCTGGGAGCCTTGGGGACCACCTCAGGGAAGGAGATCATCCCAAAGCCAGACTCAATCCGATATTCCTCCCCTTCCAAGAGCTTTCTGCCGGGAAGAGACCAGAGCAGGGCAGTCAGTGATTGCTTCTCACCCAGCTCTCACCTCCTCCCTTGACCAGGAGCTGCCAGCCATGCCCTGCAGCTCCATCTCCCTCCTTGCGCTGCTTTTGAGATGCTGGTAGACCCTCTTGCTCCTACGCGCAGGTTTCCTCACCCTTTCCTCTGCAAGCCTTATGCAGGGCTGGGTCACCCGGTTGGACGTTGCCCACCATGATCTTGGGATGGAAGTGTCTCTTTCTCACCAAGAAGGGCCCAGGTGTTAGTGAGAGCCCTTGAGGAGCGTCGCCAGAGACACCAGCACTAGGGGCTGGCTGAGACCCTCCCACCTTCCCCTGGCCCACCCCATACCTGTAGGCAGCAATTTCAATGTCCAGGGCCATTTTGACATTGAGCAGATCCTGGTACTCCCGGAGCTGAGCTGCCATCTCCCACTTGGTGTTCCTCAGCTCGCTGTCAAGCTGCTGGATGGTTTCCTGGGGCAGACAGAGCAACTGGTGACGTGGGGGGCCAGTCCCCAGGAGCAGGGGGACACAGAGCCCCCCTAAACAGTCCCCTGGTCTCCAGAGGAGGGAGTGGTCACCCAGCACCGGGGTGCCCTCACAGAGGGGTCTGCAGCCACAGAGGGAAGGGGACACATCCAGGGACTGTGTCAGTGTGTCCAGTTCCCTTGGGGGAACCGGCGGAAGCCCTGCACCCCCTCGGCTGAGAGCTGCGCTGCGGCCAGCTGAGCCCCCGGCCCCCTCCCAGAGCTCCCTCCAGCAGGGACAAGATGTGGGAACGTTTCTAGGACTTGGGTGAGTCTGGTGGCCACCAAACCACAGCCTGGGGCTGCTGGGGATGGGGCATCACCCTGGGGACAGTGCAGCTGCAGTGCAGCTCTGGGACACAAGATACGGTGTGAATTCTGGGCATGGTTCATTGATGCTTGTGACCATCATGGGCAGCTCAAGGCCAGGCAGAGATGTGGGACAGCTCCGTCATGGGTGAGGGACACAACAGTCCGGTTGCAACCTCAGGCTCTGGGGACCTGATCACCAGGAGCTGGGGAAGGCTGACTCTAGACACAACCCTGAGTATTTGCCACAGGTCGTCACCATCACTGAAGCCAAAGCACCAGTGCTGCTCCTCCCCAGGGCATGGGCAGCTCAAGGCCAGGCAGAGATGTGGGACAGCTCCGTCATGGGTGAGGGACACAACAGTCCGGTTGCAACCTCAGGCTCTGGGGACCTGATCACCAGGAGCTGGGGAAGGCTGACTCTAGACACAACCCTGAGTATTTGCCACAGGTCGTCACCATCACTGAAGCCAAAGCACCAGTGCTGCTCCTCCCCAGGGGCTGGACGGTCCCTCCCCACCAGACGATGTCTGGGACGCTGCCCACTGCGCCACATTACCTGGTAGGACAGGACATCTGCATGATGGCGCTCCTCTGAGTCCTGTCTCTGCCTCTCCAGCGACTCCTGCGTCCCTTTGAGGGCTTCCAGCTCGGTGGTCTTGGACTGGAGCTGGCGGCGGTACTCGCAGATCTCCTCCTGGGCCAAGCGGATGGCATCCGTGTTCACCTTGGCAACCTCCGAGAGCTTGTCCAGCCTCACTGCAATGGGGGAAAGGAGAAGCTGCAGGGAGGGAGGCTGCAGCCTCCCCTTCTCGGGGTACCCCAAACCCTTTCAGACTGCACGTCCGGTCCTCAGCCCCGGCGGGGGCTCGCTGGG